GCTACATGCAAAGATTGACTTAGACACTAAGAACCCAATCCTTTTACCTCGCCACCACATCATAACTAAACTTTTTGTCTTACATCACCATCAATATGGTACCCTACATGGTGGAGTTTTAGATACTCTCACCGATCTTAGACAAAAGTACTGGCTTCCTCAAGGTCGTCAGACTGTTAAGACCATTATTAAATCTTGTGTAATCTGTAAGAGATACGACGCTAGAGTCTGTCCTTACCCAGGACCTCCTCCACTCCCAGAAGAGCGAGTAGTTCATCTTCGTCCATTCGAAACCACTGGAGTAGATTATACAGGAGCCTTACTCCTCACTGGTAACCCAGATAATATACCAGTGAAAGCGTACATTTGTCTCTTTACCTGTGCTACAACCAGAGGTGTACACTTAGAGGTCACCCCAGACATGAGTGCTGAAGCGTTCATTCAAGCTTTCCGCAGATTTGCTGCCCGTCGATCATGTCCTAGATTAATGATATCAGACAACGGATCTAATTTTGTAGCGGGAGAAAGCTGTTTACGAGAAGTCTGGAACCACCCTGAAGTGCAATCAGTCTTACAAAGAAGACAATGTCACTGGAAATTCATAGCACCAAGAGCCCCTTGGCAAGGTGGGTTCTATGAGCGAATGGTAGGCACAGTCAAAAGATGTCTAAGGAAAACGTTACACCGACAAAGGGTCAGTTACTCAGAACTCCAAACTATTGTTGTAGAAATCGAGGCGCGAGTCAATAACCGCCCGATCACCTACCTGTCTGATGATTACACCCAGAGAGAACCACTGAGCCCCTCTCACTTGATCCATGGAGGTCTATTGAGCCCTCTCATCCCCTTAGTCGAAGAGGACCCAGTAGACCCATCCCATGTGACTCGAGGAGACTTGGTGGAAAGCTACCAACATCTTTCTAGAGTTATCAACAGGTGGAATGAGGTGTGGACTCGAGAATACCTCACAGCTCTACGAGAATACCACTACGGAGCTTCGAGTCCTTACAATAAGGTACAATTAAAACCTGGAGACCTTGTACTAGTCGACAGTGATGGACCAAGGTCCGAGTGGCCTATAGGAAAAATCGTCACCATCCACCCAGATCGACAAGGTGTCCTAAGAGTGGTTAAAGTCTTATGCAAGGGCAACACTACTCTAAAAACTTTAGAGAAGCTGGTTCCCCTAGAACTGACTGAACAAGAATATCAGCCAAATCCAGCTTCCCCAGTAATTTCAGAGGACAATGAATCTGTTCCTCCAAGCAACCGTCCCACTAGAGCTGCAGCTCAACAATGTAGGCGGAATTTGCGAGCCTATTATAACTCTGAAGAAGAATAATTTCCTTCATTTCCCCCTAAGGAAACTGTACTGATACTACGATGTGATATCGCGTAACGAAACATTACACGTCACTATGACCCAAGATATCGCATCACTGTAGATTCTGTTAGTTTAAATTGGGAGAGTTAAATTTATAAATATTGTGTAGGCTACAAACATGTTTCAGTTGACATGTGAATAACAAGACTTAAATTCTTGTAAGTCCTTGATAAATCCGGGACGTTCGTTATGTGTGTACTAACATACTAACATACTAATGTGTTAATCTTAATATTACTTCGGGATAGGTCAGTACAACACAGTACACTGCGACCCTGGGAATCCCCCCCCGGAGTTATGTTGGATATTTCCAACATCGAATACAACATTGTTGTATTCTCATTACTTATTACTAATCATATTAATATTGTAGTAAGTAAAATTAACAACTCGTAGAATTCTCCTGTACTAATAATTCATCTGTGCATTAGGCTAGAATTCTCACGTCATCTAACGCTAGTATTGCGTCAGATTTCTTTACAGTAAAACACATTATATACAATTTGTGTGAGAATTAAATACGATTCTCCATAATTAAGGCATTCTGTATGACAACTGATTGCAGACGAATTGTTCTCTAACTAAAAGCCGAATAGAGCGTTAGAATTATACCGTCTACCTCGCGATAGTGTTAACGTCATCAATGAATGCTATGGGGAGACATTAATTCCTCTCCCTTGTATCTTTACTATTCTTAAATAGTTAAATAATAATATTTCGTTCCTCTAAATAATAAACCCGTCCAGTCTTTAGAGTTTCAAGCGCGAATGCGAGAAATATTAATGTTCATGCCAATAATTTGTGTAATGAACGTCGACTCGGCGTGGGGGGAGGGACGCGACGCCATACTCACTCGGTGAGGGAGTCGGTACGCGTACACGTGGGGAACCGAAGAGAGGCAGACCTGCGCTTAACGTACGCACAAAAGACGCCATTGTCCAGTAAATAGGACACGTGTGTCTATCTACAGATGAAAGCCGCCACTGTGAGGCGTGAACGACCTTGCAGATAATATCTTCAACTAGTGCTGGTGTTAAATAAGGGACCCCTAGACTTGGTTCCTGACGACACGTGATCAGCCAACTTGAAACGCATCAATCCAGGATAGGTTCACCGGAGCCTGGGATGCGAAATTACGGCAATCTTAATACTTACACAGTGCCCACAGCTAAGTACCTTTTATTTGATGCATCATTTACAGGTTTAATAATAGCGGGGTGATTGCGCGTCACGCGGCACGACAACACCTAATAACAGGTGATTAGAAATTTCTCTGTAGATATCAATAATCTTGAATATGTATTGAGTAGTTAAATCAATTGCTACTGGTAGTTATTTATTTTGCAGCTCGAGAGACGAATTCCTCATGCTGTCTTCTCCATGTTAACCGTGTCAGACGTCGGTGTACCAGACTTGGAGATTAAGAGGACTGCCAGGGTTATCTAAAGGAATCTATTACCAGCTAAGGCTTATTTCTTTTACTCATAACATTGCAATTTGATACATTCAGAATGTTTTCAACATAATGTGTGATTTACTGTAATTCATTATTATGCACATATTCATGTTCTTCTTTGTATGAATAATATTATATTCAACATTAATTATAGGATTAGATTATTATTAATAGAATTAGTGAACGAACCACACTGATTCCTGGACGTACTGACCTCCAGTAATAACCCCCCAATGTAGGTGTTTGAGGTTTGGTTTTAATAATACAGCCCATTAATTATTCTTATGATCATACTTTCTAGTCATATCCATAGTCACTGGTTTCTTCTAGAATTTTATCTAATGATCTGAAATTCTCAGTTTCCCTCTTTACTTTAAAAGCGGGTGGTCCTTCGTAATTTAATTTACTACTTTAATTATTAATTAATCAGAATCAAACCCAAATATCCCACAAACCAGGCAGGTCCTTAATCTAAGAAAATTTTAAGGAGGTAAATACTTGCAAAATTTATAGACAAAAAAAAATGATAACAGATTACATGGAATGAAAAAAAAGATGAGAGAAAATTATAGGAACAGTATATTAAAGCACATAGGTAGCTATGATTGATTGCAATGACAGCTTAAAATGGTAGTTGACAACAAATTGGTAGGCACAATACAGCAGAAACAATATAAGATTGATTGCAATGACAGCTTGAATGGTAGTTGACAAAAATTGGTAGTCACAATACAGCATATGGCTAGCACATAAAAGAAGACAGCAATGAACACAATGATAAGGTTGTTTGATATTACATAAAAATTAGGAGATTGGGTAACACTAGGTACAGAGCAAATTTAAAGCTCAGTGTAGGAAACTAAATAGATGAAGTTAGGTACTTTTTGGTTTTGCTTTTAAATAAGGCAAAAGTTTTACAGTTTTTCAATTCACTAGGGAGTGAGTTCCATAGACTAGGTCCCTTAATTTGCATAGAGTGTTTACACAGATTAAGTTTGACCCTGGGGATATCAAAGAGATATTTATTTCTGGTGTGGTGATAATGGGTCCTATTACATCTGTCCAGGGAGAGTTTCAGAGCATGGTTTGCGGAACGGAGCAAAAGTGGTATTCATAATGCCGCCGAGACAAGACTCGCAGGTGGGACACCATTAGGCAAACCCCCACCAGGCAAAACAAAACAAAACAAAACAAAAGAAACACCCTGCAAATGCACAATGTCTCCAGGAAGAACAGAACCAGCCGCTATGCGTATTATAAGACAGCTGCACAGTACCTTTCGCTCCTGCCTGCGACGATGCTACCTCCTACAACGCCAAACAGGGGTAGGAGAAACCTCCAGCTGACCACAAGGGTGGGCAATCACCAAACAGCAAAAGAACCACGCAGAGTTAGCCCCTGAACAGTTTGTGTAAGGTATCCCCAAACTGCAAGGGCAGTACTTACAGGGCACCTAGGGAAGGGAACAATAGGCGCATGCAGTCCCATTACTTCTGAATTAACACCTGGCTCGCACACCACTGCACCGCAGCACATCACCACAAGGCACAGCACTGCTCAAGGATTGGAGCCAGAGTAGATTGACTGCCACCTAACAAAACAGCCTCAGAGCTGGGGTTGGGTAACCAGTGCAGGAGGTCTGGGACCCCCCTTCCCCCTCCTGGTGAGGGGGGAGTTGCGCAGTCATCGGCTCGGTGGCTGTGGTGATGCCATGATTGTTTGCTTGTTTTCTGATTTGGGATTCTGCTTGCTCGTTCGGCTTTCAGTTGGCAATGTTTAACCAGTTGTAGTTTGTTTTGGGATTCCTACCTTTCTGTGCCTGACTTGGTAGACTATGACGGCAAACATAGACTGCTTTCAACTACATGGGGATGTCTAGAGGCCATTGCTCCTCGTGCCTCTCTGAAAGGGGGGGCCAGGTTCTGGCTCGTGGTCCCCAGGTAGGCCTAGAACTCCATCGATTGACTGTTACTACAGTCTAATATATACACATCAGCCCGGCATAGCTCCGGGGAGCCTCCGGGTCTCACCCAGTAAATGGCGTGTCATTACATTCAACTTTTTTTTTTTTTAACAAACTTGTTTTCTGACTCATTTTAAAAATTTAGCAGAGTTCAATATATTACTCAAATTTTAACTGATTGTATGTGATCTCCCCAGTCATGTGCCACAGCGGCGCTGTACCCTGTGTATAATGTGGTTGATGGTGACACCGTAGTGGAAGAGTGGAGACCTACACGTGGCTGGTGAAGATATGCTGTTGTGAACTATTGTTATTGGCGGTGAATATTGTCAAGGCAACTATTGGTGGTGGTTGTGAATATTGTCTAGGTAACTAGTGAATATTGTCTAGGTAACAAGTAGTGGTGGTTGTGAATATTGTCAGTGTGTAAGGATAAATGTCTTAAGACCATCATCTGAGGATGATACACATGATCATGTTTATTTTAGTAGTACTGAACAGCTTCTGGTCCTTGTATGATAATGATGCGCTTCAGGCTACTACAGAGAGAATAAAATATCTTAAACCTAATGTTGATGCTCACTGAGGGTAGCATATAATAGACATGTATGGATATTGATCTCAGGATTAGTTATACACAGTACAATACTGTTTTCTACTTTAGAGAGAGAAAGCAGTAATGACTTGTAAACAAAATTGTTAAAATACATTAAAATATGCAACTCATTATAATAGCATGTATTCTTCTGATCCCTGGATAATAAATATAAATTCTCCTTATTTGTAAGTGAAATATATATAATAGCCTATAGCAAATTTATGAGGAAAAGAAGTTATCATTGGCATTTAGTGTAGGTTTTGTCAGTGTAATATATCCTATCCTTCCTATCTAACCCTGTCACTATATTACCTGTGTATTATGAATCATATCTGGTAGGAATTCCTTATTGTATAGTTTCATTTTCTTTCTTTATTATGTACCCCATACCCATCCCATGGGTGGTGGTGGAAATGGTTACAGAGGCACATAATCTGTTTAGGAACTAAACACAATTATTAATGTTATATATACATGTACATGTATCTATATATATTATTAAATATGACCGAAAAAGTAAGATTAATAATTCTAACACGAATTTTCTCAATCTTTCTTACGTTTCTTTTCACTGTTGATGGTAATTCAAAGATCAATTCTCCAAAATTCATTTTTATTTCTAGTCTGATGCGACACTTGAGCGCGTTTCGTAAAACTTATTACATTTTCAAAGACTTTAGTTTACACAAACACACACAACTTTAACTGAATAGAGCTTAAACATTTTTCGAGTTTTTATACCTACATTTGGGTGAAGTGACATGTTACAATAGTTTTGGATGAGGTGAAAATAAACTTTTAACACAAGACAGAACATGAAACAATGAAATACAAACAGGTATTAAAAGTAGGTAACTGCAGAAGGCCTATTTTTATTGGCCCATATTTCTTGATGCTTCTATATTGGAGCGGAGTCTTGAAGTGGGTAGAATATAGTTGTGCATTAATTGGCTGTTGATTGCTGGTGTTGACTTCTTGATGTGTAGTGCCTCGCAGACGTCGAGCCGCCTGCTATCGCGTATCTAAGATAAGCTAAGATTTCTCTGGTGATGGTTTGGTTGTGGGAAGAGGCTATATGTTCCTTAATGGAGCCCTGTTGCTTATGCATCGTTAAACGCCTGGAAAGAGATGTTGTTGTCTTGCCTATATACTGAGTTTTTTGCGGCTCACAATCCCAAGAGGGCATTTGAAGGCATAGACGACGTTGGTCTCTTTTAAAACATTCTGCTTTGTGTCTGGAGAGTTTCTCATGAGTAGGCTGGCCGTTTTTTTGGTTTTATAGTAAATTGTCAGTTGTATCTTCTGATTTTTGTCTGTAGGGATAACGTTTCTACTGACAATATCTTTCAGGACCCTTTCCTCCGTTTTATGGGCTGTGGAAAGAAGTTCCTGTAAAATAGTCTAATAGGGGGTATAGGTGTTGTGTTAGTTGTCTCTTCAGAGGTTGCATGGCGTTTCACTTTCCTTCTTATGATGTCTTCCATGAAACCATTGGAGAAACCGTTGTTGACTAGGACCTGCCTTACCCTACAGAGTTCTTCGTCGACTTGCTTCCATTCTGAGCTGTGGCTGAGGGCACGGTCGACATAAGCGTTAACAACACTCCTCTTGTACCTGTCCGGGCAGTCACTGTTGGCATTCAGGCACATTCCTATGTTTGTTTCCTTAGTGTAGACTGCAGTGTGGAAAACTCCACTCCTTTCCATGACTGTTACATCTAGAAAGGGCAGCTTCCCATCCTTCTCCATCTCGTAAGTGAAACGCAACACAGAATTCTGCTCAAATGCCTCCTTCAGCTCCTGCAGATGTCTGACATCAGGTACCTGTGTAAAAATGTCGTCAACATGCCTGCAGTATATGGCCGGTTTCAAGTTCATGTCGACTAAGACTTTTTGCTCGATGGTACTCATGTAGAAGTTTGCAAACAGGACACCTAGGGGAGAACCCATGGCGACCCCATCTACTTGCTTATACATGTGTCCATCCGGGCTCAAGAAGGGTGCCTCTTTAGTACAAAGTACAAGCTTGGAGTAGTTTCCTTAGACTGTTTTCTGGTATGTCAAGAGGAGTACAGGCCGGATCACGGTACACTCTGTCGGCTATCATCCCGATTGTTTCATCCAATGAAACATTGGATGATTGTTTCATCCAATGATATATGTATATATATATATATATATATATATATATATATATATATATATATATATATATATATATATATATATATATATATGCAGAATACATATATATATATATATATTCTGCATACTTGGATCAGTGTTTTTGTGATCATTGTTGCATATATATATATATATATATATATATATATATATATATATATATATATATATATATATATATATATATATATATGTATATATATGTATATATATGTATATATATGTATATATATATATATATATATATATATATATATATATACACACACATACACACACACACACTGTTGAAATATGCTGGAGCTCCTCTTGTCTGCCTCTTGGGAAAGATCTTGGGTGTGTGTGTGTGTGTTTATTACCTAAGTGTAGTTACAGGATGAGAGCTACGCTCGTGGTGTCCCGTCTTCCCAGCACTCTGTCATATAACGCTTTGAAACTACTGACGGTCTTGAGATGAGATGAGGCAACATAATAGGCAGTCTGGAGTCCCCTACCTTATCCCCTGCTAAATCATTACCCAATATTACATCAACATTAGGGAAAGGTAAGTAAGAAGTGACCCCAACTGTACAAACACCCTTGTGGAAATCAGATTCCAGGGTAACCTTACGGAGGGGTACTGCTTGAGTATCACTAGTGACCTCCTCGACCAGTACTACCTCTCCAGTGTCGAGAGTGCTGGCACCTTGCAATGCACTTTCTAAAATTAAAGTCTGGATGGCACCGGTGTCTCGGAAGATCACCACGTCCTTCCAGGAAGAGCCCTCAGACAAAAGTAGTCTCCCTTTCGATAAGAATGGGGTAAGCAGGTTCAACCACTGTGGGTTGGAGCTCTTACTCCCTAATCCTTCAGAAGACCCCAAGCCCTGTGTCACAACAAGATTATAGGGTCTTTTTTCTGGGTACAGTTGCCAACAACGGCTAGTAATGTGGTTTGGATGTTTACAGTGACCACAGATACGTCGGGGAGAAGAGACATTACTAACAGGATTGCCCTTTGGTTCACCCTTAGGTGCCGTGGGGCTAGACAATTTAACAGGGTTAGTTATGTCTGAAAGAGAAGGTGCATTAGTTATAGGGTTAGAATGGGCTGGTCTGGACTGACTGTGGGTATAAGTTTTGTTACTCTGTGGGATATAATTATTTGTATTGGGCCTTTTGCCTGCCAACTGGTAGTTTTCTGCCATCTTGGCCAAATCCACTAAATTAGAATCTACCTCTATCCTTCCTCAAATGTAATGTGCTACATTCTCTGGCATATTATCTATAAAATTCTCCACTAAAACTAGATTTTTAAGTGCCTCGTATGTTTCGGCTTGAGCTGAGCGAATCTATTTTTCAAACAATCTAATTTGATCATTAGCAAATTCAGTGAGAGGTTGGTTGTGAGTAGGCCTAAGGTTGCAATAAGCTTGGCAGTGAGCATCAGGTGTAATTTCATATGCCCTCAAAATTCGTTCCCTGACTTTACTGTATTTAAAACACTTGTCAGGCATGTTTATAAAAATATCTTGTGGTTTACCCCTAAGCCGCCCCTGTAAGATTTTCACCCACTCCTCCCTTGGCCAGTTCATGGACATGGCCAGTCTCTGAAAATGATTAAAAAATCTTTCAGGGTCTGACTCTGAAAATTCAGGTAAGTTATGCTTTTTATCAGAATACCTGGGGTTTGAGTCCCCAGTAGGTGGTGGTACAGTGGTATAGATCTAAGTCTTGCTGCCTCATTTTTGAGCCTTTGCTCTTCAATTTTAGCATTTTGTTCTACTACTCTAGCCTCTTGCTCTGTCAGTCTTAACTGGGCTAGTTTTAATTCTAACTATATTTCTACTAGCTACACTTTCCGCTGGACTGGGCTCACATAAAATTGTATCACTTGGCAATAGTTCTTGGTCTATACAATGCTGTAAAATTTCATTCACCAAAGTCCACTTTTTTATCAGTGTCGTTTAACTCGAGACCAAATTCCTTGCCTAACAATACTAAATTAGATTTGGTGAGCTTCTTATTCTCTACCACTGAAGGGTCCTTTGCCAGTTCCTGCATTTTAGCCTCTATTACTAATTAATTTATCTCCTAGCAAAAGAAAAAATTAAAAAAGAAAAATTGGAAAAAAACACAAATTTGCACGGTCCCTAACACAAGGCCACACTTACCTCAATCGTGAAGGGATCCAGCTAGGTGTCCAGTCAGTGCAAGATGTATCCTTTGCTAGACGAGCTGGGCCCTAGGCTAACACACAACCGTTTTGCGGCAAACAAGAATTTTTAGTTTTGGCACTCAAAAATTGATTTTTTTTTAAATTAAAGTGTTGCTCCCGGTCAGGCCAACCACTTCTTATAGGTTTGCGTGGCTGCTATGGGGGATCTAGTATTATGGAGTAGGGTCAGCAGTTAGAATCAAGGTGTAACAGGGTGGTGACACAGGCCTGGGCCCCCAAGGAACATAGGTTCCTGTTTATACTTTAAGGTTTTAGAACAGATCTGTTGTCTGGGATATAATTACTACACCACTACAACAGGAGTAATGGATACACCTCAAAAACTAACTTATTTATTAAACCCTCTTAACAACCCCCCATATACATTCACACAATAACAATAATTACTTTACCACACTATCTTACATTAACTACCTTGGTCTACATAGGCAGGATACAAGGCTTACACTTGGGACAAGCTAGGGTAAAGTCTACTAGGCAAGTAACACTAGCAAGGACTCTAGGTAGCTTGGTACAACTGAGTACAGTGGTCCCACTGAGCCCCTTAGAGTAAATTAGCAATATAAATACTAGCGATACCCTATACTGAAAGAGGATACTACTCAACTCTTTAACATGCCTAACTACTCGGCAATTCACAACCGTCGTCAACTTCATAGAGGTGGTGGCACTGCTCTTTACTACCACCAAGAACTAACATGCTTAAAAGAAATTAGAACTTGGTCAGAATTAG